ATCCACCCTTCTATCAAGCCACCCCCCTTCCTGGCCTGGCCTGGAGTATGGGGAACTGGGGGGGGGATGGGGAGCAGAAAATTAGGGCTTCTTGGTAATGCTGGAATGTTCAGCTGTGCAGCGGAAACTTTTTGTCCTCTGTGTTCCCAGGAGGGAACAACTGAGAGGAAATTGTGATCAAGGAGAAAGAAAAATCTGGCACGTGCCTAGAAGTCATTTAAGAGAGAGGAGGTGGGGAGAAGGCTTAGTTTACCTCTCTCTTATATTCTTCTTGCTCCTCTTTCAGTGTTAGCTCTATGAACACCTGCTGTAGCTTCTCATTGCAGTAGTTGATCACAAATTGCTCAAAGCTATTGTCCTAAGGGAAGGCACACAGATTAGAGAGACCAGCTCAGCCCAAGATACTTCCTTCCACTCAGCCCTACCTCCCCTCTCTCACATCCCCGGGTACTGTGGTTGGGCGAAGTTGTCTTACCTCTAATATTTCAAAGCCATAGATATCCAGGACCCCCATTACCTTCTTCTTCTCCCCAATGCCCACCTGAAGAGGAGGAAAAGATAAGTCTGAGGACAGGCCCTTCTACAGTGGATGTGATGATGGAGGTGATTGGAGCAAGGGGCAAACAGAACTCGGGTGAGCTTGACCAAGCCTGACAGGAATTGTGATTTTATTCTCCTTTCTCTTCTATATGCTGGAGGACAAGCAAAGAGGGTGGAAAGGGAAGATGCAAATAGATTCCAGGACAGTGCTCCCATGGTGTGAGGTAGAAAGACATTGAAATCCTCTCAGGAAAATAACTATCTTTTAATTTGTTGAGCATTTTATTTAAAAATCTATATTCTTATTTCATTAATCATATCATAAACCTAAAAGGAGTGATTATTCCCATTTTACTGATTTAAAATATCAAATTTCAAAAGAGCTAGAGTCAAATCCCAAACCTAGAGTCAAATCCCATTTTACCCCACTACCCTGCAGTAATAGCTTCTAAATTGATGGCACTTTCATGTACATAATCTTTAAATAATAGTTCTATTTTTATTTAATTCACATACCAGAGAATTTACCCTTTAAAGGTATACAAGTTGGTGGGCTTTTAACGTATATTCAGAAAGTGTACAACCATCACCACTACCTAATTCCAGAGCATTCATCATCCCCCCAAAAGAAATCTTGTACCCATAACCATTAGCAGTCACTCCCCAGTCCTCCCTCCCACCCCCAGTCCCTGATAACCACTGATTTACTTCCCATGTCTATGAATTTGCCTATTCTGGGCATTTCATATAAATGGAGTCATTCAAAATATGGCGTTTTATGTCTGGCTTCTTTCACTCAACATGTTTTCAAGGTTCATCCATGTTGAATATGTACCAGTATGTCATTCCTTTTCATGGCCGAATAATATCCCATTGTATAAATATACCACATTGTATTTATTTATTCATTCATCAGTTGATGGACATTTGGTAAGAATAATGCCTCTATGAACATTCATATATATCTCTTTTCAGTTTGCTTGGATATATACCTAGGAGTGAAACTGTTGGCTATGGTAACCATGTACACAATTTTATCTCATCCTCACTAAACCTGTGAAGCAGGTAGGCATTAAGGTCCCATTTTCCAAATCAGGAAACTGAGGCTCAGAATCTTTGTGAAATTGAAAGGCCACACACTGGTAAGCAGTCTATCCAGAGAGTCAAAAAACCAGTGACGTTTCCACAATCACACACTATTGGAAGACACTGTACACTTTTCCTCATTGTCCTTACTCTGTCCATCCCAGAACCCAAGGTATCGGGCTGGTGATCAGGGCAGGAGAGTGTTGAGGGAAGAGGGCGATCTCTCACCTTGATACTCTCATTGATTCGATTCACTATCCAGTTGAAGAGACGGCTGTAGATGTTCTTAGCCAGAGCATCCCGGGCATACTGAGCCTACAGGGCAAGGCCAAGCTGGTCAGTGTGGTAGCCACAGAACAGACTCAGAATCAGCCCCTCCCATAGGGCCCCTTACCTGAACAACATTCAGTGCAGTGACCACCTTTTCTTTAGCAGTTGCCATGGTCCTTGAGCACAAAGCTCTCTCTAGTTCCTTTGAATCCAAACCCATCATTTCCCCAATCTCCCGAACACCTGGGGTGATGAGGAGATACAACATGGCCTGAGAGAGGGCTTTCTCCCAGGGGAGGGAGGAAGCAGATAAGTGAAGCTGCTGGGAGACTGGTGTCCCTGGGCTCTGCTGGAGCAGCCCTGGCAGCCCGTTCAGAACATGGCCTTGAAGGAGGTCTGGGGAGGAGGAGGAAGGGGAGATCTGGGAACTTTTCATGCATTATCTACTTTAATATGAGAATCTCCTGAAATAGGCGAGACTCGGAAAGGTCTCAGAACCTATGTCTACCAAACTTCAAAACCTCATTCCAATGTGCCTCAATGAGTATGTTTGGGGAAGAACTCAGGAGCAGGCTGAGTGGGACTAAATCAGAGTGAAGTTAGTTATACTAGAGATGGTGGAAGAACAGCAGGAGATTCGGGGAGCTGGGTGGGACTTCAGCAGGGGGTGCAGACCTCTTGCATCAGAGATGCCACTCGCTGGTATTCCATTGGCCTGGAATTCGTCTGACAGCTTCACATTCCCCAGCTTCAGCACCAGGGCTGTCACCTCTAGCACCCATCGAATCTCCTCCTCGGAGAACCCAATCACAGTCATTGCACTCTTAGGGAGCAAGCAGAAGTCAGAAGTTGAACTGTGGTGCCAGTCCAATGCCTCCCTCCTCAAAGCCAGAGCCTGGGCTCAGGGGATGGCCTAAGGGCCCAAGCCTACCCCATCCTGGGCACCCACCTGCACAGACTTGAAGTTGGAGGCGTCGTCCATGCCATCCACTCTGGACACTTCTCGGTTCAGATAGGCATAGCCACCTGTATCCCGCTCCAGCTTCAGCGCCGCTGGGAGGGCCAGTGTGTGGGGACAGGGTTAGTACACAGGCTCTCCAGTCTTGACCCTCACAGCCCTAGCCCTAGGTGAGTTCATTCAATTACTCAAAGAAGCCTTTTTTTTTTTAGTTTCTTCCCTTGCCTCCTTTATTTTGGGATCATTAATTCCTATAATAGACTAAACTTTTAAGTGGTATTCAGGGTTTAGGTGTTTGTAATTATTGGGGTTTTCTCCCAACTTTTATGAAAGAAAAGCTTCATTTTACTCTTCTCCCCATCCTCAGGGTTCTGAACAATAAAAACAAACAAACAATCCTCTACACTGCTCTGGTCTCAGCGACTCTGAGGATGAAGGGAAGGAAGAAGGGTAAGTACACACCTCCCACTCATCCTTGCCGCTGCATTCATTGTTCGCTAAGCACTGACAGAGCGTCAGGGACTATGTTCCCCAGCCCTGATCCCTCTCTGGAAGGTTTCTCTGGTGTGGTGGGGCTGCGTCAAATGGCTCTCTTGTGTTCCCCCTGGTGAGTCTCTATCCCAGCCCCTATCACGTGGACTAAGTTATGTTTTCTTTCTCTCTCTCCCACAAATAAACAACTTGTGTGTTGGGACTATGTTTTTCACCTTCATAATCTGAATACCTGGCTGGCATGCAGGAACCTTTTTCTTTTTAATAAATGAATCAAGGGCATGGTCAAAGCTATTTACCGGAGATGGGAAGGAGTGCGTTAATCCTGGAACTTTAGGAATATCAATGATCTGTTATTCAAATGATCTGAGATTCAGTGAGTATCTCTCAAACTAGAATTTAATGGCAGCTTCTCCCAAGACACAACTGTGAAACCAAAGCGTATTAAAGAGGAACATCTGAACACAGAATGAGTCAGAAAGGCCTGGGGTGATGACACTGGGGAGGGCCCGCCTGGACTCAATTTAAACCAATGAGTGACAGAACCGGAACAAGACACTGGTGCCTGTGATTCAGACAAATGGAACACATTCAAGACTATTAAGCCAGGAGGGAGATGAGACCTGTGGGGGCACCTGAACCATAGATCTGCCAGGGGGAAAAGGGAAATAGGTATAAGTCCAGCACAGAATAACCCGAAACCAAAGGGAGCAGATACCACAGAGCTCTCAGCTAGAGGGCGGACTGGCAGGGCCTTTAGTGTCACTGGACCCTGTAGTGATGCCAGTACAACATTCAAGCTGGGATGGGCTCTTCCTCAGGACAAGGCAGCTTGCCCTATGCCTTCTGCTCCTATGTGCATCTGCACAGGCCTATTGGCACTGACCACACTGTAGTGCAGTGTATCTGTTCACACATCTGCCATCCCCAGGAGACTAAGTTCTTCAGCGACAGGATCCATGTCTTACTCAACTCTATACCCCTAGCACAGTGTTCGATCATAGTAGGTGTTCAAGAGCTGTCTGATGAATGAATGAATGAATGAATGAAACCTAGGTGGAACTATCTAAGAAGAGGAAATCAAGGACAGGGTCCTGGGTGAAACAGATGTAGACCAAGGACAACTTCAGTGGAAGCTCAGTGAAGGTTCAACATCCTGCTGAATTTCCTGCTGAACTATCAGCAACATCCCTTCAGTTGAAGATAGGAAAGGACAGTAGATGGAAATGCGAGTTCCATTTTTGAAGCCAGCTCGGGGAAAGAGGAACTCAGGCAGGACAGAGGAATACAAGCAGTGAAGAGGCAACAGAGCTTATTCCTAGTAATAAAACCCCACAGAGGTCACGGGATTTGTTCCCAACAATGGTGGGTGAGATCAGATGAGGAATATGGATGGAGGAATCTGAGGGGCTCAAGGGAAGAGGCTGCGGGGGCCCAGAGGGGACTGATGGCGGCTGGGGATGTTCGGGGCAGGCACATACCCAGCAGCTGTGCATCTGCTCCAGCCAGTAGCTGATAGAAGATGTGGAAGTTCCTTTCTCCTTTGAGCTGCTTCACCACGCGGGATTTCTCAAGCAGATCTGGCAGAAAATTAGAAAAGAATGTTTTGCAGATCTGGGAGGTACCTCAGCTTCCCTCTAATTCTGCCCTCATCCCTGACATCCCTAGTGGTTGGGAAGTCTAATATTCCTTCTACCCACAGCAGCAGATTAGCAGAAAGGGACACCGTGGGGCGGGTGGGAGAGAGAGGCAGTAAGCCGAATGGGGAGACACGTACAGTTTGTGATGACGCCACCGAGGGGGGATCCCTTGAAGTCAAACTCAATATCCATGTACTTTCCCTTCAGGGACCAGAGAGAGAGAGGGAGACAGACTTTGCTTCCTTCTCTTGTCACCACCCTGTCCAGGAAGGGTCTGTGGCACATTCTTCCCTCTCAAGCCTCCACACCCTCTCCTCCCAGACTGAGACGTTCACTCACAAATCGAGAGGAGTTGTTGTTGCGGATGGTCTTGGCATTGCCAAAAGCTGCGGAGATGAGGAGAGGGGCAGTGAGGTGGCTGAGGGGAGAAGAGGGACTCTCAAGAAGGAAAAGGAGGAAGGTCTTCCAGTCATTGTGCCAATGTCAGATTTTTTCAGGCTAAACGAGGACAGTGGTTTTGGAACAACGGGAAGGTGACTAGGGCTGAGTGACTCTGGGGTTGGCCGGGTGAGGGGGACAGAGGGCAGAGCCCGGCATTCTCACCCTCCAGCACTGGGTTTGACTGAAGCAGTTGCTCCTTCACAGAGTTCACCTGTTCCCCTTTCCCGCAGACGGCCGCCACATAAGACATCACCAGCTTACTAGCCTCTGTGCAAGAAAAACCCTCGCATGGATCTCCACACCACCCTCCGTAACTTCCCTCGTCCCAGCACCTGAGCCTTCAGAGCCAGGAAAACCAAGAGGGAATTCTGGGGGTGGGGGACGGGCAGGACAGGGGCAGGGCTAGACCTGGCTGGGAGAGATGAAGGATTAGTTCCAGAGGTGACCCCACAGCTTTCCCCAGCAGGCGCCTCACCCGTCTTCCCGGCTCCACTCTCCCCGGTGATGAGGATGCACTGGTCTCGGTCCCGGAACTTCAGTGACTGGTACGCCACGTTTGCCAATGCATAGCTTGTGGGGAGGAAGTAGGTAATGGCTAATGTGGGGTCAGTCCAAGACACCACATTCTCTCGATCCCCAGCCTCCAAGTCATCCACCCTCTAATTCTAAGGAAGTGACAGGCTAGGAAGGGGACTCCAGAGGGCCAGGGCCAGAGGGCAGCTAGAGATCTCCTCCAGGAGAAAAGAGAGAAGACATTAGAATGTCTCCTCATCAGGATCATCCTCACCTTCCCTTGGTATCTCTACTCACATATGGGGCTTCAGCTCATAGAAGGTACATTCCTGGTATTTGGTAATGAACTCTGGGCCATAGATGGGCAGCTGTTGGTAGGGATTCACGGAAACCAACACGTTCCCAATGTAGGTCTGCAGCCGGGGAAGAAGGTGAAGGAAAAGAGTGGGGGGAGGAATGGGAGCATGTGGACTCTCTGGCCACCACCGTCAGGGGCACCCGCATGCACTCACATAAATCTCCTTGTTCTCATAGCGTAGCTGGAGGTTCTTGAGCATAGACTCTTCCTCCAGGGGTTCCAGGAGCACGAGATCCTCCACCCCTATGGAACCTTCCAGGAGAGTCATGTTGAGGAGCTGATCCTGGGGGTCAGGGGATGGTTTATTGATATCTGATCAGCGTTAGAGACCCATAACTGAGAGGAAGAAGGCAGAAGGGCCGAGGAGAGCCTTCTGCCCCCCAGTTCCAGCCCCTAGAGAGAGCCCCTGACCTGGGAGAGGCCTCTAGACTAGCCCACGTTAACTGTGGGAGGAGGTGGGGGATCCTCTGCCCAGGGTCAGGGTTGGTGGGGACAGGGCAGAGATGGGACAGGACCACCTGCCTCTGACCACCAGGGTAAGGAAGACATAGGCAGCACCTGGGGAAGCACAGTTGTGCTTGCAAGAGAGGACAAGATAAGCAAAGCTTTGCCCACAGCCAGGCACCAAAAGCTCTCTCCTCCCTGCACGGAGGCCCTGCTAGGGTCTAAACTCCCTGACCACTGTCCCAGTTCTCCTCCACTCCCTACCTCCCACAGCCCCTATTTCAGTCACCCAGCCCACCCACGCCCATTTCAAAGGTTCTTCCAAAGGTCTCTCCTCCCCTCTCATTGCTACAGTGAGATTCATTTTTTAAATGGGGACGGGACGAGGTGAAGAGTTTGAGGATGGAGTTGGGAGTTCCTCCATAGAAGACGGCAATACCCCAAAGAAAACCAAAGTGAGCTTTGTTTCCCCCAACAAACTAGCAGCTTTCAGGACCTGTGGATGTGCCTACACTTCTGTCCCTATTTTTCTATTTCCAGTTTTCACACGAATTCCTATAACCTGGCCTAGACTTTGTCCCTGGTGGACACATCCAGCTTTTTAGTAGGAAATGAACAAGGAGGAGCAGAGTGAGAGAAACAGGGAGCCTGGGCCCACTGCCTCGGTCCCAGCAGTAGGCACACAGTAAGTGTCCCCTAAGGAGGAAGCCCAGCCCTCCTCAGTTTTTCCTGTGGGACTAGGTGGGGTGGCCTGGTACAGGACAGAATTATCTGTACAATGGTCAATGCCACTCCCCACAGGAATCAGGGAGCCATACCCTCCTCCTCTCCTGCACAGCTGAACCTGCGTGGGGGAGGGGAAGAAAGCAGGAATGAAAGGTTGAGAAAGAAGGGGATACAGCCGCCTTCTTCCTTCACTCTGCTTTCCCCAAGCTCCAGAAAAGAACGCAATTGTCACTTTGAACACAAGTGGCTAAAGTAACTTGGCAGGGGAGGGTGAGAAGCAGAAGCAGGGCTGGGAGAAGGCATCTTTTTTTAATCTGGATTTGAGGGAAGTGGAAATATGGCTGGTTGGAGGTAGGGAAGGGGAAAAGGAAGCCACCCCCAGATGGGTAAAACAATATGCAAAAGAGGAGCAGCGACGGGTCAAGGCTAGACTCACCCAACACTGGAACTAGGCTGTAACTTCACTGTTCCTTGGAGAATGGTGGATGAAAGCCCTATTCAACAGGAAGGGGGCACAGGATGCCCGCCCCAAAGGTGGAGAGGTGCCTTTAACAGGAGCTGTCCATGGTGTTGGAGAGGCCAGGAAAGAAGCTGCCCTCCTCTTGCCAGTGTCCACCCGTTCTGACCTTGTCTGTGCTGCCTCCTCCAGCCGGGGCTCCTTGTGTCGGTCAAGCCAGAAGCCAGAGGCGGCTGCTCAGCACAAAGTCCGAGGCTGTTCCTGCTGAGGGTGTGGTTCACTTAACCCTTCACAGGCCTGAAGCCCAGAAGGGAAACAGTAGTCACAAGAAAGCACCTGTAGTAGGAGAGAGTATCTGGCTGGCCTTAGCTGAGCAGCTCAAGTAGAGTTCCTGTGCCATTGTCCCAAAAATTTGGAAATGAGAATAGGAGTGGAATTTATAGCTAAGGATAAGCTTTCCAAAGTCAGGAATTTGTCAAGGAGGAAGGTAGGCTTGGGTATCTTCCTAACAAAGACTCAGTACCTCCCTCAAACCTACCCTTCCTTATTACTGAGTCAGGGGTTGTCAATGACATTACTTTAAGAACTAAGCAGACAAAATACCCAAATTCCTCTCCACCCCCTCCCCCTCATGAATCAGACCCCATGATACAGATCTAAAAACTAAAGTTAGTAATAATGCCTGACATTTGTAAAGACATCAGTTTCATTAACTCCCACCTGTATCATCATATTGAATTACACCACCCTGTGAAGTAGGCAGTGCAGATATTCCATTAAAAAAGAAAATTAGAGGCAAACATTGAAGCTCAGAGAGATTACACAGTGTGCCCATCCTTCCACAGGCAGTATGTGGCAGAACCACAAACAGAATGCTGACCCTAAGTCAGCCAGAGGTTCCAGCCCAAGTCCTGGCATTGCTAATTTTAATCCTTCTGTGCTAGGATACTGAATAAGACCTTGAGATAATGTTTCCTGGGCACTAGCCCAGCTGGAAGTAACCTGTCTTCGACAGTAAGCAGCTTATAAAATTCTGTTTTCCAGGGTACCCCCTCACCCACCCAGGGAAAATCCTGAACAGCAGGCTCCCACCATTCTCCCTCCCAGGCATGCACAAATACAGACACTTAGCTGAAGACAGACTTGATTTTCCAACTTGCAGTCACAGCTGCTTGGTTCAAGGTCCAAACATTATTGCTTTGCAGAAGCATTCTGCACAAGCCTGGCCCATCAGCAGTCCATTATCAACCTGCCCTTTCATAATTTATTGATTTACTATATATACTAGTATGTGGGGGGGGGGGCGGGTGGAAGGCAAGGAAGAGAGAGAAAAGGCTGAGTGGTAGAGACAAAGAACATAATCCCGAATACAGGTAGAATGGTATCAGTGTCAGAGACAGATTCCCTATTATAATGAAGGACACAGATGAACAGACCTAGAGTGAGAAATCTCTTTCCCAAGATCACACCACTGCAAACCTGGCAGAGGTGGGACCAGAACCCAGGTCTCCTGTTCTCCAGGCCAGGATCTGCAGCCACCTACAACTGGGGTTTATGTGTGTCCACCCGTTCACTCATTTATTGAGTGCCTACTATGTGCTCACAAGAGAAGCAACTTTAAAATGAGATGGCAACCTTAGGCTTAGAAACAATGGCATAAACATCACAAGCTAGGGTTTGTCTGGGATCTAAGCTGAGTTCTCTGGACATGGAAATTTTGAGTGCTGAAACTAGGAACGTTCTAGGCAAAGGGGGACAAGTGAGTCACTCTAAAGTAACGAGGTGTAAACTACACCTCCATGTCATCTGAGATTTTAAGATCTGTTAAAGCATCCCTGAGGTGAAGATGCATGGGGGGTTGTGATCTCCTGTTTCTCAAACAAAACTGAAGCAACTGGAGCTTATTGGTCTTCTCCACTGACTCCAAAATCACCTTTCTCTTTCCCCCCATTAACAGTTCTAGTCTATCTCTGGCTGGGTGGCTGGCTGGTTGGAGCATCATCCTGATACACCAGGATTCTGGGTTCAATTCCATCAAGGCATGTAGAAGCAAGCAATGAATGCATAAATAAGTGAAACAACAAACTGGTGTTTTAAAAAACTTTTTTTGTCTGTGCAGGGGCATGAGGGAATTATTGGGGGTGATGGAAAGGCTCTATATCATGATTGTGAAAATGATTACACAACTGTCTCCATTAGTCAAAATTCAAAACTGGTGAATTTTATTGTATATAAATTATACTTCAGCCCTGGCTGGTGTGGCTCAGTTGATTGGACACCATTCCATGCACCAAAAGGTTGCTGGTTCAATTCCAGGCACATACCGGGTTGCATGTTTGATCCCCAGAAGGAGGTATGCAGGAGGCAACTGATTGATGTTCAGCTCTCACAGCGATATTTCTCCATCTCCCTTTCCCTTCCTCTCTCTCTAAACATCAATTAAAAATAATTGTTTTAAATTATACTTCAATAAAGCTGGCAAAAAAAGAAACTTCCAAAGTATTTAGTGCAGATTTCTGACAGAGTTTGGAAGCCAACAATCTGATTAAACTAATTCACATTTATTCATTCTCCCAGAGATACTCATTTTTGAAAAGATGTTATGCTATAAAACACAGTTTTCAGATATAGTGAAGATATTTATTTGGTGGGTAAAAGGATTTTCTTGACTCTCACAAATTATCTGGTGTCAATTAGTAACATTGACCAAGTACTTAGTATGTGCCAGGCAACAAGGTAAGTGCTTTACATTCTTACTATTCAAAGTGAGGTCCACAGACCAGCAGCAGCTGAATCACTTGGGAGCTTATTAGAAATGCAGAATCTCGGGCCCCCATCAGGCTTACTGAGGCAGAAGTCTGCATTTAAACAAGCTCCCCAGATGTTCCCTGTGCATTTTTAAAGTGTGCGAAGAACTGGTTTAAACATCTTATCTTTTTTTCTCTCCTCCCTGAAACACTATGATGTAGCATTCCTGGCAATTACGCTTTAAGTTTTTATTAATAGCCATTAATGATCATCTATGTCTCTTATTTACCTAGTATAGTTATAAAAGGCAAAGGAAAAAAGATGCCATTACTGTGCATTAATCTACATAAATTTACATAGTCTGCATCCTGTTTTCTTCCTTTCACCATCTTTGAAAAATGGACAATGGGTTTCCATGTAATCTAAATAACTAAGAAAAGAGGAGACAGGTACAGAATTAATGCAAATGCTATAACAGATTCCAAGAGCAAAGAAAAAAGCCAAAACATAAAAAATAGAAGATTCAGATTCCTACTACAGAAGCTGGGCCTAGACATAATTGGTTTTATTCCACACCCCTAATGCTCACTAGAGCCCTGCTCCCTCTCCCACCCTACACAAAGTTTTTGGCAGGCATTTCACAGTAGGATCCATGGGTCTGCCCCTCACCCCAGTGGAAAATAAAACAAATACTTTATATCATTTTTAAAAATTTAAAGAACTAAAGCACAGAGAAGCTCCCTAGACCAGGAATAACCTATATATATATTTTAGAGAGTTAGAAATATCGATGAGAGAGAAACATCGATCAGCTGCCTCCTGCACACCTCCTACTGGGGATGTGCCCGCAACCAAGGTACATGCCCCCGACCGGAATAGAACCTGGGACCCCTCAGCCCACAGGCCGACGTTCTATCCCCTGAGCCAAACTAGTCAGGGCCCTATATATTGTTTTTTATGAGACAGCATAATAGTACAACCTGCTACTTCTGTAAGAATAGCCCTTAGAGTTCTGGCATCTTGGGAAATCATTCAGCCCCGGGATGAAAATAGAGCAAGAGATACCCAAGATGGGCAGCAGTGGTTAAGAAAGAAAAGGGAAAATAGATGGCATGCAAATGATCGCATTAAAAAGATGAAACTGAGGAGCTAATTACTCATGAACTGAAAACAAGAGATCCAAACAAGAGAAGTGCATGTTCATTAAGAGAAACCACTATATAGTCTATAAAACTTTATTAAAATTGGAATTACTTACAAATTTGTACAATAAAAATGAAAAAATATATTATAATAAAACACTGACATTTTTTCTTACAGAAAAGAGTGAAAATGAGACCCATGGCAAAGAGCCATCCCTGATCATTTTGTTCCTTTCAAACATTTATGAATATTTATTTTAAATACAAACGAAAAATATTTTTAAGTAACACTAAGGCATTACTCACAGGCTAAAACTTACCCGGTGATTCATTACTCTTGCTATTTCACCATCATGGGAAACTGAGGCAATTGCAGGCTGTAACAGTTCTAATACATTATGAATTATCTATTATGTTAACATAATAAAAATGTTGTCCATATACTAGTAAAGTTCAGAGAATGTGATTTCATCATTTTCAAGTTATTGTCAAGAGTGTGAGGAGGAAGATGACACACATGGGTTGGGCAAGGAACCCAAAGCCCCATACTTTGGGAGGCTGTGTGCCACTCCCATCCTCACTAAAGCTGTGCGCTGACATTCACGTGAATTTGCATTGTTTATTCCCAGCAGGCTCTGGCTTCCATCACATAAGGCACTGAACACCCTTTTTGAAGGTAGTAACCATGTAGAATCCAACTCAACAGTAACTGAGTCCATAAGCTAAGTTAGCAAGAGACACCACCAGATTACAATTGCATAGGTTTCCCTAAAAAAGTAATTTCTGCTACATCAAAACAGACACAAAAGGTTGGAAGTGCATTTACCTTGTAAAATGGCTATTTTTATGTGTATTACTTAGTTTCTGCTTCTGTGTAACATGAAGGCATAATAAATCTGTCAAACTGTCCTCTCCTTGGTTCAGATAAAATTCTTGGCATTTCAATATAGGTTATTATCTCATATGTCAGAACTGAGTCCAAAAAATACAAGGACATTTAATTTCCTTTCCTCCTACTTCAACTCTCACTCCTCAATTCAGAGAAAAGTTATGAGTAAACAGCTAAGAATCATTTTTGCGCAAGCATCCATCTGAGCCCATCTTTTTTTTTTTTTTTTCTAGAACAACAAAAAAATTGAGGACAATTGCATAATCCAACCCCAAGCCTTTTATGGATATCAGGGCCTGGGGGGACTATCTGGCCTATTTGGGTCCTTTTATTAATCAAATCTCTATCATATATACTCAGTGGGGATTGGATTGAAGGGAACATAGTCAATGAAGAGAGGGCTAGGGCCTAGAGTGGGATGTATTAGCACAAAATGAAACATTGGAACTATAATGGAACTATTACCAGCAAAATATCCTTTGTACAAGACATAAATTCATGAATTTGGGGGGAGAAATAAACTAGTTTTGGCGAGATGAAGTGGCTGATAGAAATTTGTTGGGAGATATCAAAGCTGCTAAATTTTCCTTATTTTTGGTCATTGGTCTCATGAAAGTAATCTGAGTGGGAAAGTCAAGAGGAAATGTTTTAGGCCAGTCGGCTCTTATATTAATGAGAGACATGCTCTACACAACTTGGTCAGGCTGATGAGAGGCAATAGATTTTTGAATGCCGATGAGTCCCTGGGCCCTAGGGCCAATTTGTAGCTTGATATTTGCTGAGCAAAATGCTGACATGGCAGCAGACGTGGTTCCAATGTCCAGCTCACTTCATAGTTATCCCTTCAATCCTTCTTGATGAGATCAGTCTGAGAAATGAGACTATGCTGAAATTGCAAAAGCTGCAACTACCAGAGAAAATTAAATGGGGGCTTCAAGTAGTGACTGAGCCAGTACACCAAGTGGCCAGAGGGAGACAAGAGCAGCTTCTAAAGGTTTCCTAAGTTCAGCAATCTCCAGGCACATGGGAGCTCTGAAGCATCTGGGGCAGAGCCACACAGGCAGGCAGGGCAAGGACACGCAGCACACCAGAGGCACCGTCCTTCACTGAGAGCAGTTCTCATGCTGCAGGACCCACTGTCATCTCCGCTGCCTACAGCTCCGTCTCCAACTACCAGACAGGAAGTAATAAGCGGAGTTTGATTTTACTCACCCTAAATTCAAACATAGTGAAAGTAACTGGTCTTGAGATGGAAACTTTATTTCACAAGTTTACTAAACATAAAGAGAGAAAAATCCGTCCCTAACTCACATTGCTTTCTCACTGAAATGAAGACATGAATCAGGAAAAGTCACCCTGGAGCAAGCTACCACCCTCCCTAAGTAGGTATTTGGAAGCAGGGAATCAACTACTTGTACAGCCAAATTACTTCTTCCAATCAACTTAGGTTCAAATAGCCTAGGCCTCAATTTCTGTAAATGAGGTCAAAAATAGTATATTCCAAAGGTCTTAACAGTTCTTTGTAGAGAGATAAAATTTTACCATGTACATAACTCACAAAGGCATTAGGTTTCCCAATATAGAGCTCCTTTAGTCTACAACTTTAACCAACAGCATCTGCCCCAAAACTGCTTATTTTTCACTTTCTATTATGTCTATTTGCTGCCAACTGAGGTACTTGTCACTTTAAGACAGTTTAAAGCTATGGGAAACACTGCTGGAAATAATCAACTGGCCACCTGGAGAGGAGTCTCAGAACTGACATTTTGAAAGTCAGTAATGGAGCCCAGGGCCTTATCTGCTAAATGGCTGGTCTGAAGGAGTCATGAAGACTTTTTAACAAATCATCTCTATGATCATGGTCATCCAGGAAGTCTATGCTGTGCTCTTACCATCGGTGTCTATCTTCCTGGCCAGAGTAATTATAGCTTCTTTCAAGGCATGAGGGTGAAGATCACAAAGACAAAACCAGCTAATGACAGAGACATAAAAATTCACTCCCTCATAAATGGCATTGCTGGTTTATAGGGTTACTTTCCAATGGCAAAAGAATCTGAAACTAATGCCACTATAATAAAAGGACGCATGAATCTCTAGTCAGAAATGAAACGGCAGGTAAGTATAATTCATGGAAAAATATGTCTGGCCCTGGCTGGGTAGCTCAGTTGGTTAGCGTGTCATCCAAATACACCAAGGCTATGGGTTTAATGGCACATACAAGAATCAATCAATGAATGCATAAATGAGTGTAACACGAATCGATGTTTCTCTCTTTCTAAAATCAATTTTTAAAAATGTATATATGACTCATCTTTAAAAAAATCTGATCCTGATGGCTGAAGGAGCATCCAGAGTCATGAAGATTAACTGAAGGTCTATTTTCTAGCAATGCAAACTATAGTAGCTACATAACTACATCTTGTATGTTGTATCAAGAAACTTCATAGTTTTAGGGCTTACAAAATTAGCCAGAGCTCATGGGGGGAAAAATAGGTGGTAAGGAAAGACAGAAAGAAACAGGAAGAATGAGTAGACAAAGGAAGGAAAGAAAAAGGAGATAGTTTCCTGATTCCACAGCAACTCAAAGATATGTGACTCACTGACCCCAAAAAAATGGAGAACCTGTAAAAACCATTTACATTCCCTAAATAAGATCGCTTCTCCTAAATAGCAGGAATAATGCTAAAAACCAAGGGGAAGAGAATATAAGAAATGAAAAAACTCTGAATTGTACATACTTCACAGGTATGGGAATAGATGCTTTGTAAAAGGGCAAAGGGAGCTAGAAGGAATGAGAAGGAAAAAAATGCAAATTTACTTTTAAGATGGAATTGAAAGCCGACTATAATAAAAAGCCCAACGGACCTCCCCTACAGAAGAGCCAATAGGCATGTTCCTAAAAGCAAGCAGGACTCAGAATATCATGTGCATGAGAACCAATTCAAAGCTCAACACAACAGCTTCTGGGGCTTTAATGGATAATCCATATTAATAAATATGTAGGGGCCTACGAGGCTTGTCACACTGGAGCACTTGCTGGTTCTGGAACACGAATTTTAAGAAATTAAAATTACATATGTCCATTTAAAAAATAAGACAAACAAATAAAAATCCATTTTCCTCTTTAAACAAGGATTATTCTAAAGTCACTGGAATAAAAGTAGAAGTGAAATTGGCTTTCTCTCTGAAAAATATAACCCAGATAACAGTTCTCACTTCTGAGTGCCAGTCACAGTGGCAGAAATGCCATGACTGAATCAACTTCCAAAAGAGGAGCTAGAATGCTGTGCTCGCTGTGCTCATCCAGTCTCTCTGGAAACATAAAAGGTGAGCTGACTGCTTAACCAAGGGGAGCATTTACTACTTTACCCACTCTCATTCCCCAGGGATCCCACAGACACCACCAAGACCATTTTCAGAGGGAGGCCTACTCAGGCTTCTAATTTCAGTGGGAGAATTCCTGCACTATCTCGCTCTGTCTCAACAAGCTGAGCAGCATAATGCACAACATATGCGACATGGACCACATCAAGGGACCAAGCCAGTCCACATAAAAATAAATGACTTCCACCTAAGTCAAAAAGTTGTTCTGCATGGCAGTGGGATACCAAGAATCTGCGTCCTCCTCCTCAGAGGATGTTTCTTCATAGATTTCATCCTGGGCAATAATGCTCCCTAATCCATACTCCTGCTCATGGACAGAAACTTCATTTGGTGTGAGGTGAAAAGAACCTTCCACAAAGTCAGCAAATCTGGAAAAGAGAAGATAATATTCATTAGGCACCTTCTGCCCTTTCTATTTTTATTTCAAAATAAGAATAAATTTAAACCCTTCATCTACTCAAATTATACTGAGTCCAGACAGCATCCCTGTCCTTACTCTGGCAGTTAAGTAGACCAAAGCAAGAAACAAGGAGAAAAGGAAAGCTGGGGTCATAGGCCAACATCCCCTGCAACCTCATCCTGCTTAATAAGCACTAGCCTATCCTTTTTAGCTATGGAAGTGCCAAGGTTCCTTTAGTCATCTGTAATTCTGATAAGAGAGATTAAGGGTCATTACACATTCATTCATATTTATGGTCCTATAAACTTTATGCCATCAGGATTCCAAATTGAAGATTCACGTACTCACTGGTATAGTTGCCCCCAAATAAAAAGGAAAAAAAAAATCCCACCCCTCTCCCCTGCAAGCAAACAAATAAACAAACAAACAGAAAACACCACTCAAAGAGTAATGCAATACTATCAGAGGGGACACTTGATATGGTGTTGGAATCTTCTCACGTCTATGCTAGAGTAGACAGTTCCGCTTAACATAAGATGATATACATACCTTTCTCTTGACTACTAGATGAATAGGAAAATAAAGCCATAAATACAAAATTATTACCTAGAAGTATGATCTGTTAAAACTCAAGGTCACAGTCACCGTGACAGATGCTTGGCATATCTGGCCAAGAGCTTACCTCTTTGGAGACTGGATTCGAGAAATAGTCTTCCAAGCAGAGCAGTCTGGACTGTTACAATATTCTCGAAGCTCCTCTAACGCCTTTTGAGTTTCCACCTCTCCTTGTATTCGATACTCTTCTTCTGTCAGGAGACGAGGGGGGACAATCTTTTCTGTTGCCTTACACATCTTTCTGTGCTCATCAAAATAACACCATGAATCATTAATCAGTAATCTATATGCACCCTTACCTCTAGCTCCCTTCAGTGGGCCAGGCATGCAGCAGAGAGCCTGACCTTCTTGATTTCAGAGAGGAAGGGAGAGGGACAGAGTGATAGAAACATCAATGATGAGAGAGAATCATTGATTGGCTGCCTCCTGCACGCCCCACACAGGGGATTGGACCTGCAACCGGGTAAGTGCCCGGACCGGGAATTGAACTGTGACCACGCTGGCTGCTGGCTGGGCCAGATATCTTTAGTTATAATGTACTCTTGATATGTCAGACTATTAGTGACAAGTCAGAATAGTCAATTATTATTCACTAATGTGAGTAAATTCACTTATTTGCCAATAAATGACAGACAAAGTATTTATTTTCCAAAAACTGGGAAAATGACCAAAAATGATGGTGTAAAATTGTGGTCCATTAACTTTGTTCCCCAAACTGAAGATATCACCCTTGACTATCTGTAATAGAACCACCACTGACAATCTGAGATCATTCCATATTCACTATGCAAGGTGATAACACACTATGAATTACATCGTAAGACTAGGACTCCCATCCCTGGCCAGTGTGGCTCAGTTGGTTGGGCATCGTCTGGTGCACTGAAAGGTTGATGGTTCGATTCCTGGTCAGGGCACATGCCCAGCTTGTGGGCTCTATCCCCAGTAGGGGACATGCAGGAGGCAGCCGATCAATGTTTCTCTCTCTCCCTCTCCCTTCTTCTCTCTCTACAGAGGGGGGAAAATCAATTAAAAGAAAAAGACCAGGACTCCCAGCGCAATCTGAGAGCCAATGTGAAAGACTCTGAAACCATGTAACCTGAGGCATTTGATATAAAAGTAATATACTTTGCACCATCTAGTGGTAACATGAGCACATCACACTTTAGTGGATACTTTTATATAAAATAACTATAATAAAACTATAAAAATGCCTATAGTCTAAAGAAAGAGACTCAGGAAGGACAAAAATCAGAAGCAATAATACAATAAATTTTCATTAGCAAAGAGGCTCCCAGGTCAACACTTTTGTGTCCTTCTGCTGCAACTGTATCACACATTGTACGTTTCAATAGTTACATTGCCTTTCAGTCACCTGTAGGTGATGTACAGCCACCGAATAGGATACTCCAGGTTCTTAGTACACAGAGCAATGATGATAATGGCAAAAGCAACCTGTGGTATCTGGATACCAGAATACATGAAACAGAGGCCCATCAGCTGCAAGGTCCAGGTCAGCAGGTTGATACTTCGTTCATTCTCCAAGGGCCCATACTTGTAACAGACTGCAAAACTTATAAATCCAACTGTGAGGACATAACCTATGAGAAGAGTTAACAGAAGACATTAGTAAAATAATTTGTGTGGGGAAAAGCAGTAAGTGACTAGCACCGACTGAACTGGGAAAATGGACAAGATCATTACTCAATTATTCATATTTTTTTCTATCATTCAGATATATTTATCTTTTTAAGCTTCCATCCTTCTTTTTATCCCTAATTTATTTGCATTAAATTGAAGCATTGCTACACATTGAACAACTCTAGAATAGTCTGTTTAAAAAACACAATATATGGCCTAGCCAGTTTGGCTCAGTGAATAGAGTGTCGGCCCAATGATTGAAGGGTCCCAGGTTTGATTCTGATCAAGGGTACACACTTCGGTTGCAGGCTGGATCCCTGGCCCTGGTCAGGGCGTGTGGGGGAGGCAACCAATCCATGTGTCTCTCTCACATCGATGTTTCTCTCTCTATTTCTCCCCCTCCCACTCTCCCCCTTCTACTCTCTCTAAAAGTCAATGGAAAAATATCCTCGGGCCCTAGCTGGTTTGGCTCAATGGATAGAGCATCAGCCTGCAGACTGAAGGGTTCCAGGTTCGAATCGGGTCAAGGGCACATACCAGGGTTGCGGGCTCAATCCCCAGTGGGGGTTATGCAGGAGGCAGCCAATCAATGATTCTCTCTTATCACTGATGTTTCTATCTCTCTCTCCCTCTCTGAAATCAATAAAAAAATATATTAAATAAAAGAAAAAGAAAAAGATCCTCGGGTGAGGATTAACAACAAACCACTCAATATATGGAAATCCAGATTAATCACCTCTCAAAGGGTAGATTAAGAGTTACTATCTGTATAAAAAAAGGATTCCTGCTTTACAGATTAGATTCAATGAAGAGTTACTTTTTCAAGTCCTCAAGTATATTAGAAATACAATTATGTTGACAAACAATCCAATTAAAAAATGGGCAAAGGACCTAAATAGACACTTCTCCAAAGAGGACATACAGATGGCCAATAGACATATGAAAACATGCTCAATATCACTAATGATCAGAGAGATGCAAATTAAAACTACAGTAAGGTATCACCTCACACCTGCCAGAATAGCTACCATCAATAAATCAACAAACAACAAGTGCTGGTGAGGATGTGGAGAAAAGGGAACCCTGGTTTACTGCTGGTGGGAATGCAGACTGGTTGCAGTCACTATGGAAAACAGTATGGAATTTCTTCAAAAAATTAAAAATGGAACTCCCATTTGACCCAATGATCCCACTTCTAGGAATATATCCTAAGAATCCCAAAACACCAATCAGGAAGAATCTATGCACCCCTACATACTGTAAATAGTGCTGTTTACAATAGCTAAGATCTGGAAACAGCCCAAATGCCCATCAGTTGATGAGTGGATAAAAAAGCTGTAGTGCATTTACACAATGGAATCCTATGTATTCATCTGTAAAAAAGAAGGATCTCTTACCCTTTGTGACAGTATGGAGGGACCTGGAGAATATTATGCTAAGCGAAATAAGCCAGTCAGACAAAGACACATAGCACATGATCCCACTTAAATGTGGAATCTAAAGAACAAAATAAACTGACAAACAAAATAGGTCCAGAGGCATGGATGCCTGGAACAGACTGACAGATCTCAGAGAGCAGGGGGGTTGGAGGGACAGGAAGAAATTAACTAAAGAACGTATATGAATATATGCATAGCCCATGGACACAGACAATAGTGTGGTGAAGGCCTGGGATGGGGCAGAGGCTGGGTGGAGGGCGGCAAAGGGAGGGAAAATGAGGGACATCTGTAATACTGTCAACAATAACAATAAATAAAACAAATACAATTGTATTAATAAAGTCAATTTACAGTTTTTCAGAAAGATGCCTATCATATAAAGAAAGGTATACTTATCTACAACACAAATTAAAGTCTTCTTCCGAGCAGCATCATTTTAATTTAAGAGAAGGTAACAACTGTAAGAGGGATTAGAAATAAGTGAAGAACTACGATTCTTAAAAGTTAATAAAATGGCATGGACTATTAAACTCCTAAAAGTTAATTTCATGACCAAATTAACTAAAATAGTTTATAAACATATAAAAAGGAAAACAAAACCAGTAACACTTACTTAAAAGATACTGCCAGTAGCACCTCCAGATCTCTTGTAAATTTTTAAAAACTAGTTGAATGAGGTATAGCGAAAAGGACCAGCCTCCCACCAGGATGATGTAAATGGGACTTTTCTAAAACAGAGTAGAAGTGAAAGCAAAAAGTTACAAAAGGTTTCCATACATAAAAGCAAAATGAAACTATGTTTAAAAAAACCTCAAACTATTGAAAAACACATCTCTGACAAAGATTTCCTATTTAAAGTGGTACAGTCTGCTAAGGACACTGGGAAAATGAGATGCTAAATAACTTAAAAGCCTGACTATGTAATTAGCAAATAGGAAGGAGACTTTAATCCCCCACTAAGCACGGAATTTTAAATAAAAAGGGAGTTTATATGTAATCAGGCTCCAAGTTTCATCATGGTAAGTACCTTTCTGAATCAAGGAAGGAGTAGGACATTGGCTTAGATATCAATGCAAATTTCAGTGCTGCTAAATTACCTAAGAAAACTATCCTTCAACTATCCAGGCTCATCTTAACCACATGAGTATTCTGCTACTTACCCTGGGTATAAACTTGGACAGCATGAAAATGATGATTAGCAGAGACGCCACAATTCCCACACCCATCCCAGTGGAATAGTAGAAGATTTGGCTTCTGCAAAGAGAAAATGTATTTCATGACTATGTGTGTATTCTTCATACATGGCATTGTTCCAACTAGGACAACTATCCTAGTCAAAAGATAGAAAACAGATACAAGATACAGGTATTTGCCCAAAACTTGAAGTCAGAAAACTGAAGAAACTATAACAATATAGTTGCTCCCAGATTATGAGGATTAGTATCAATGAGGTCCCCTCAAGTATATCCCCAAAATAAACCTCTATTTAGTCTCCTACTTTGATCCCCAGCATCTCTCCCAACCCAATCCTATATAATAAAAGCATAATATGCAAATCGACCAAAGGGCAGAACGACTGGTCGCTATGATGCACACTGACCACCAGGAGGCAGACGCTCAACGCAGGAGCTGCTCCCTGGTGGTCAGTGCGCTCCCACAGGGGGAGCACTGCTTAGCCAGATGGCTGGCTAGCCCAGCAACAGTGGTGGGAGCCTCTCCTGTCTCTGCTGCAGGCGGGCAGTAAGGAGCGAGGGGTCCCAGACTGCAAGAGGGATGTGTGCCTGCCAGCTTAGGGGGCTTAGGGATCAGGCCTAAGCTGGCAGGCAGACATCCCCCGAGGGGTCCCGGACTGTGCAGGCCGGGCTGAGGCACCCTGCTCCCCAATGCATGAATCTCGTACACCGGGCCTCTAGTTTTTAATAAGAATCTTTCTTTTGAGGAACCGTACACCATCTCTGGGAGAAGGAAGGGACAATACTGCACTTGTGGAGACTGGAACTGAACTGATTACCCAGAAGGATAAAGCAAACACAGGGCCTAGAACAGAGAGCTCCTACTCCTATTCCAGGCTCTTTCTATCAGTTATTCCTCCCTCATTGAGTTTCTCTTAGAATCCCTCCAAAAAAGGAACAACTTCCACCAACCTCACTCCAGCCCAACTTCAAACTCCAATTGTTAATCTGTCATTCACTACTCCACAAATACTCTTTTTACTTGTATACATAGTTAATGTTGGTTCTATCTTTGTTCAATGTTTGCTTTTTTCTCTATTTCTTTTCTTTGTATTTGGACATGTCACCTAGCTTGGCTGGTAAGTTCCTAAAGGCAGGAAATGAATAAGTAGTTAATGTTTGTCTCTTTACTTCTGAATGGCATGAAGCTTATCAACACACACATAGCCCAGTAAAAATAAGGGCTTAACACATTCTTTCCAATGGTGGAGTGGTTGACTCATCACAAGATAGGTCAAACTAATGGGAAGATTTCACTATTGCCAGTCTTATGTAATACAAGGAAAAAACAAAAATCATTACACATATATTAAAGTACTTTTAAAAATTATCCAAGCAGATAATGGCCTAGCCATAAAGGTCCTGGAAAAGGAAATGGCAGCACTTGGAGTTTTTACAATAAAAGTCAAGGACAGATCTGAGTCTCATCATTCTACACTCTAGCCTTGGAACTTACCTGCTCAACAAGTCTCCACAAAAAAATAACATAAGTCCAAGAAGGAAAACGAGAAAGAGTTTGGGGTCAAATCCTGAAATAAACAGAGACTTCTGTTTAATAGGAGAAACAAACAGTTTAAGGCATTATAGTAGTCCCTCCTCATCTGCTGGGGGATACGTTCCAAGACCCCCAATGGAATCCTGAAACCATGGATGGTACTGAAGCATATATGTAATGTACTGTATTTACTTATACAAAAACAGCTATGATAAAGTTTAATTTATAAAATAGGCAAAGTAAGAGATTAACAACAACTAACAATTAGATTATAACAATATACTGTAATAAAAGTTATGTGAATGTGGCCATTCATTTCAGGGTTCCCTGCTTGAAGTCTTAGTATAGGTCCAATGTTTTCTGGTGCAACACACAGCCATCAATTGGAACACGTTTTCTGTCCAGGTCTTCCACCCATAAATTTAATGCCTTTTTCATCTTAACTAAGCACTTATCATGCACTGTGGCTGTAACTTTTGCAGTTTGACTTGTGACAGCAAAACTAGCATGGATTTCTTTTCCTTCTTCACAATTTCATGGATAAAAGATTCATTCTTACCGTTTATCTTAGCAACCTCAGCATACGACATTCTTTTTCTTTCCTTATTAAGTCAATAACTTTCACCTTTTCACTTAAAGGAAGCACTTCACAGCTTCTCTTTGGTATATCCAAATTACTAGCATCACTACTCTTGTGCTTTGGGGCCATTATTAAATAAACTAAGGGTTACTTGAACACAACCATTGCAATATGGGGACAGTCAATCGTGACAATCAATCTGATAACCCAGATGGCTACTAAGTGGCCAACAGGAGGGTAGGGTATACAGCGTGGGTACATTGGACAAAGGGACAATTCATATCCAGATGGGATAGTACAAGATTTTATCCCGCTACCCAGAACAGCACACAATTTAGGTAACTGAAACCACAGAAAGTGAAACCATGGATAAGAGGGAGTTATTGGGTAGAATAAAAGGCAACGCTGGCATTATTGGTCAGCTAATAAAATAAATACAAAGAGTCCACCTAAATAGCATTATAAATTCCACACAAAGCTGGGACACCCTTCCAAAGAGAAAGGGTAATTAGGTCCCTGTCTAACCTGTACTTTCCTGAAGATCTTATTTTTATTTTGGCTACCTACACCAAGGCTGAAAGAAACCAAGCGTTGCTTTGGATAGAGCCAGGCATAGTGGCATCAGCACTTCATGCAATTGCCCACAAGAGGTCTCCACCACTCTGGTTTTCAAGCCTTAAGTCACTCAGGCTGGGACTTAACAGATTTGCCTAGCCCTAGAACTTTGGATAAGGGCCTTCTGTTGCTCTCTAACTGGCTGTTCTTCTGGCCCAACACCACCATTTACTTCCCTTCGCTATACAACAATTGTGTTGGAAAAACCTACACTCAAACACAGTTCACTCAGGACCAGGGGGCCCAAGCAGAGGCCCCTTAGGGGCATACAAGACTCTCCCACACCTTCACATTCAAGACCTGAGTTTAGGGGAGGTCCACAAACAGAATAGGACAAAAAAAGATCAGTAAATGTAAAAGAAATACAAAAACCAATCAACCAACCAAGCAAGAACAACAACAAAAAACACAACAGGCCAATCCAAAGAACTGTGAAACCCTGCGGCAATTAGAAGGCACAAACTATTTTGTAGCAAAACCCAAGAACCTTTCCACTACTCACAACAATCCGGGACCCTGGGTGGTAACCAGGGAGAGACCAAAAGTCACAGAGAATTCAACAGGATAATGATCCACCTGCTCTGTGAAACTTTCTCAGACATTCAGGGAAGGGAGGGCTTCTCCCAGTTCCACTGAGTAAGCCTTAAATTGCAGTGATCTTCATATTTACCATTCCACAAATACTTTTTACTTATGAAGTACTAATATTCAGTTCTGAAGAAAGGCAGAACTGAAATCAATATATATATTGATTTCAGAGAGGAAGGGAGAGGGGGAGAGAGAGAGAAACATCAATGATGAGACAGAATCCTTAATCGGCTGCCCTCCTGCACACACCCTACTGGGGATCGAACCTGCAACCTGGGCATGTGCCCTTGACTGGAATCGAACCCGGGACTCTTTAGTCCACAGGCCGATGCTCTATCCCAGTGATGACAAACCTATGACACGAGTGTCAGAGATGACACGCGAACTTATTTTTTTGGTTGATTTTTCTTTATTAAATGGCATTTAAATATATAAAATAAATATCAAAAATATAAATCTTTGTTTTACAATGGTTGCGAATATCAAAAAATTTCTATATGTGACACGGCACCAGAGTTAAGTTAGGGTTTTTCAAAATGCTGACAAGCTGAGCTCAAAAGGTTCGCCATCACTGCTCTATCCACACAGCCAAACTGGCTAGGGATCTTCAGTTTTTATTATTTAACCGTTCATGTCTTCAAATGTAGACCTGTACATTTTGGGACATCTACCTTTGTCTAGAAGTGCCCAGAAGGCAGAAATACATCTTTTATACTCTGAAATATACTAGGAATATCAGGTCAGAGCCATTGGAAGAATTAAGAATGTGCATCTTCACAATTCTAGGTAAGGAGTTACTTACAATGATCTAATGTGAAGTCTCAATTCTAGGCCTAAAGGGCTTTATGTGGGGTGGAGTTTCTCTAAACTGTTTGGAGCAGTAGTGAACTCAGGTTATAATCAGAACCAAAATGGAATTATCTTGGGCTGACTTCTCTTTCTCACTAATTATACCCTCCAAAGTTCAGTCCCTTCTCACTATAGAATTCATCATAAAAACACAGGTAAGACTTACTTCGGGTCACAGTGACACTGTACTTGGTGTCTTCCTCTATAATCTCAACTTTGAGGCAGGTTTTTGTGCTGTACAGTCCCACATTAACATAGGTGTCATTCAATTTCTCTTTTAAAAAGGAGGAAAAAAAGTTCCAGATACTAAACTGCTCTAGCTCCTTCAGTTTCTCCTCATTCTCCACCTGGGTGACTCGTACCAGTTTGGAACTATTTACCCGAATCTGTAACACAAAATAGGAATGAATTTTTCACAAATAAAAATTTTAAATTAACACAAAACTTTAGAGTAAATATCTAAATCAGAAATGGCACTAGTTTTCCACAAGGCTTATGAGAAATATAGAGATGCAGTGGCTAAAACGTAATTGGACAAATATCATTGCACATGGTATAGAGAGGCAGCTGTTAGAATGTCTTGTTGTTAACATGATCTGAATCTACTATTAGGCCTGAACATAGGGAGAAAAAAGACTTCCACAATACAGCTATTTATAAGAGATCATACAAAGCCAGGGTCTAGAATATTAAGAAAATTGCCAAGCATAAACAGCCCCAAAAAGGTTTCCCATAATGACAGGCTGAGAAATTCAACCCTTTGTCACAAATCACTGATTATGGGTACATGTTGGTTATAATTTGCCCCAGATGGAATATGATTTTTATATCAGACAATAAAAAAAAGAGAATTAAAAAAAGAAACCCACAAGCCCATCCTGATGTTTCTGATGTGAACAACAAATGCCCTTATTAGTAACTATGCTTATGAGAGTAGCACCATTTTCAAAAGGACTCATTTTGTTCAATCACTATTACAGCCAGACACTCTTGCCTTGCCAGGTGGTTTAATGGCGTTATGAAATAAATGAGACCAAAGTCATTCATTCTATCAAGGGGAAACTTCAGTTCAGGAGGCTTATGAAACATCCTGTGTAGAATAAAAATAAGAGCAGCAAGGCAAAAGAGTTTATTTACATCCTGACAAACACAAGACAGTTTCCAGACCAAAGAAGGCAGAGGCCTTTAAAGAAAAAAGATGTGTAGGGTGTGTGTGTGTGTGTGTGTAAAAAGAAAAGGGCGAGAGAAGAAAGAAGTTTCTTTGGGAAAAGGAGGAAGTTTACCTCAGGGTCAAGTATTATAAGCTACTTAAATGAGCAGAGAGAGGAACATAAATAGGAAAAAATGCTTATTGATGAAAACACAATTCAGGATAATCTCAACCCTGTCAAGGTTGTTAATAATACTTTATAAAAACTTGTGTGTGTTCCTAGTTGGTTTGGCTCAGTGGATAGAGCCTCAACCTGTGGACTGAAGGGTCCTCAGTTGGATTCCAGTCAAGGGCACATGCCCGGATTTCGGGCTTGATCCTCAGAAGGGGGTGTGCAGGAGGCAGCTGATCAATGATTCTCTCTCGTCATTGATATTTCTATCTCTCTCTCCCTCTCCCTTCCTCTCTGAAATCAATAAAAATATATTTTAAAAAATTAAATAAAAATTGTGTGCTACAGATAAAGAGTGTCAAAGAACTCACTAATACAGACAAACATTCACAAAAGCTGCCCCTGCCAGGGGCCTCCAAATTATTACCTGTATCCGTGTCCATATATCATGCCACTTTGGGATAAGCACATTTTCATAACAGAACTGTTGCCTGGCAGTCATAGTATAAACTCGAGATTCCTGAAGCATGACCACATTAATTTCAACTTCATGCAAAGAAAGAAAATAAGAATTAAATGTAACAGAACAAGTTAATAACTATTAACTAATTTCATAAAGATTTAAACTGATCACTTTCTTAAAGTTGAGGTTAAAATGTCAGTGATTGAGAAACAAGATAACTGAAATAAGAGAAGAAATAAGATAGTCTTATTTCTGTCTAATTTTATTTAGATATTACTAATAGTCATTAACCCAGAATAAGTAATAAGGAAAGCTACTATTTAGTGTTAAGACAGTATGCAATCTCATTTAACCCTCCAGTAAAGGGCACGTGCCTGGGTTGCGGGCTCAACCCCCAGGAGGCATCCAATCAATGATTCTTTCTCATCATGGATGTTTCTATCTCTCTCTCCCTCTCTGAAACCAATAAAAATATATATATATATTTTAAAAATCAATGGGGGTGGGGGGGGAGGATATCCTCGGATGAGGGTTAACAACAAAAAAAAAAATGAATTTGCCCAAAGTCAAATTAGCTTAATTGAGATTCACACCCAGGTCCTGTATCCGTTAAAAAGGCAAAGCCAAAGTAACCTCATCTCGTGTTTTTTCTCTATCCCTTTCTCAGGTAGAATGAACAGAATTGGCAATGATTATCTATAATAATAAAAGCATAATATGCTAATTAGACTGGACAGCTGAACGACCTTCTGGAAGTCCTTCTGGACGAAGCCGCAGTGCTGGGGGCCAAGGCAGAGGCAGTTAGGTGAGATGAGGCAGGCAGGCAAGCAGTTAGGGTGATCAGGGAAGCAGGCAGAGTGGTTAGGGGTGATCAGGCAGGCAGGCAGAGGCCAGCAGTTAGGAGCCAGAAGTCCCGGATTGCAAGAAGGGCATTTCCTGAGGAGTCCCAGATTGCGAGAAGGTGCAGGCTGGGCTGAAGGATCCCCTCTCCGTGCATTAATCTCATGCACCGGGCCTCTAGTATATGTGTATATATATATATATATACTAGAGGCCCGGTGCACGGATTCATGTACTGGTGGGGTTCCTCAGCCTGGCCTGCACCCTCTTGCAATCCGGGACCCCTCAGGGGATGTTGGACTGCCAGTTTGGCCTGGCCTGTGGGGACCAGGCCAAAACCAGCAGTCTGACATCCCTTGAGGGATGTAGTAGTGCATTAAGTGGCATGTTGGGCACTGCACCAATCCCGTTCATCCCAGCCCTGCTGCACCAGGCGGCTCAGTAGCACTGCCATGGAGGCCAGAGGCAGGGCCAGCCATGAGCCCTGAGTCTGGCACCCATCAGCTGAGCAGCGCTCCTGCTGTGGGAATGCACTGACCACCAGGGGGCAGGTCCTGCGTTGAGCATCTGCCCCCTGGTGGTCAGTGCACATCATAGCAACCGGTTACTTAGGGTTTTATATATATACTAGAGGCCCGGGGCACAAAAATTTGTGCACTGGCGGGGGGGGG